AGTATTTTACTTGGGATGAACTACCACCAACCTTAATTCATCAGTTTCAAATTTCATTCAACATAATATAATTGCAACATGTCATTGATTTAATAGACACTCAGTATAGCTACAAAATATACCCCTGTAAACCAAAAGTGCACTGCGGTAAAATAGGCCTTATTATTTCTTTTGTCTCATTGATACTGATTTACTGAGTTATTTTGTTGATTAATAAGCTATATATTATCATATTTCATTCATTGCCTGTGGAAGTATTCCCAACAACATATAATCTCCAAAAATTCAAAAAAAATTCCAATACCTACCTCCTGTCCCTATCCTCCCTAGGAACGCACGATGTTCTTTGAACATTATAGGGATTCCCTTTCGTGTGCTCCAATCGATAAAAAAAAAAAAAAAAAAAAATACTGAGTTGATTTTGAGCAGTGATTGCATTATTTTACACTGATCTGAAGAGTTGATTTCAGTCAGTCAATTTATATTTCTTGTGGTTGCAATAATTGTACACTGTTCAGGTAATATTACTATTGATACTCAGTTACTTTGGAAGTCTTGAGCCAACTATATAGTATCATTTGGAGCACATTATTTGTCATTTCAGAATTTACTTGTGATTAAAAGCATATTCATCCCTATCAAACTTAGTATTTTACTAAGCCTAACGTACCCACCCATTTGTCCCGCTGAACTACCAGTGTCTAGTTTCTACGGTATCAAACTGGGCACTAAAAACACTTTTTCTGTTGTCAATACATTTAAGATTTAAAACACCTAATAAATTTTAGGTAATTCATCAACCAAACTCAGGGGTAAATAAAATTCTATTCCATTTTTCTTACTACTCACCCCCTGAGATTTAAAGGCATAACAGTGGCGCCCAACGTTTATCAGTGGCACAATAGGGTGAATATGTTGGACTTATGAAGTAATAATTGGTGGTAGTGAATTTTTTTTTTTTTTGAAAATTTATACTTCCCAATTTGGCTTAAATTTCACATAATTCTGTATATTTTTGAATCTATTTTATACTGTGAATCGCTTTTTTTTTTTTTCGGAAACATTGAATCGACAGGGTGTTTGGACAAAATTACCATTTATTTTTGGAGTTGATGATCAGGAGAGATTAATAGAAGATTAAAATTCAGACAATTTTTCTAATGACCTGTGTATTCTGTATAGACTGTTGAGAACAACCTATCGTCAATTTTTAATTGTACAGGGTATTCAATTTTCAGGTACATTTCTTCTTCACAACTTAAATTTCTATTCGAAAAAAAAACAAGGAATATACCAACATCAGCTAATTATTCTTAATGTAATCAAAAAGTTAGTGAAAGGATTTTTTTTTCCTTTTTTTTGAATTTTGAATACTGAAATGTACAGGGTTAGGTCATAAAATAATATAGTCAGTTATACAGTATTTGAAGATAGCATTTGTCAATTTTATTAGATTGTATATTTTACAACAGTGAATTAATTTATACAGGGTCATTCCAAAAATCCATTACACTCACATTTGTTATCATTGATCATTGGATATCAATATACAGGGCGTACACATACAGGTGGTTCACAGTAATAGATCAAACAATTGATAATATATATATATTTTTCTTATTTACTAGAGGTTTACTCTGGTGAACATAAAATTTTCAGGTCGTGTTTGTTGTTGTACAGGGTGGTCAGCGTGCTGGGTGTATCCGTCTAGGTGTTGTCAAATTTTAGGGATTGTTTCCTTGTTCGTTTTTTTTTTTCTTCTCTGGGAAGGGAGGGGGTATGCAAACTGTCGTTTGCATGTGCAAATATTTTCATTTTCCCTGATAGTTGATTTCCCTATATTTTTTGTCTGATATTTCGAATTGAATTTGACATTTGATCTTGAATTTTTTTTTTTGAATTTTTGATTGAGATTATTAACTATTTTTTTTTGCTTATCGATCATTTTCGATTATTTCATACTTATTACCAGCCTATTTTGACTTCGAATTTATTATTGCCGAGATTTGAGACTGAGAAATTTCAATCGTGTTATTCTATAGTGAGCCAGGCGTGGACTTGAATTTATAACTGATTTTTGGGGTACCGAGAAATTTTAGGATTATCATGGAGATCAATAGACTACGTAGCGATGAGCTAACTTATGAACTTTTGCTTCGCGGTGCATGCCTAGGAAATGGAACAGTTCAGGAAAAAAGGGTGCTATTAAGAGCTGCGTTGCAGGCTGAACAGGAAGGTTCATTACAAACATCCACCATGCAGTTTGATCCTAAAAATGAGCTTTTGATTTGTAATAATAAAGTAACTGAATTATTAGGAGATGTTCAAACATTTGATGAGGACGGTCATTCCTGAATTCAATATGAACCCATATCATAGCAGACAGTATTTTCGTTTTATTTGAGATTTACAGGTAAATCTCTTCGGGGTAGAGGGGGAGTGTTACACTTCGTTCATGACGTTACGAAAATACTGCAGAAAACAGAGCTATGCATTATTGTTTACCTACTTTTCACTCTCTTTTTCATTGGTTCATAATTGAATTCATCTGTGATGTTTACTGCTGGCTATCGATTGGTATTTCTCTGTTCGTTGTTATGGATTCTAACTCAATTTTTGCTGTAAATAAGGAATTATATTGTGATTTTTAGCCTACTAGTTATCGTTATTGCATACCTCTTGGTCAGAATGTTTTGTTTACAAATTTTGGTAGGTAGGTAGTTGGTTCCTGGAATTGTCACACATGACTGATTCAGTCCACAGGTATTTCGCCAAATTTCATCTTGAATTTTGAGTATCATTCTTGTAATTATTGTTGCCGTTATATTTCCAAATAAATATCATTGTTATGTAATTATTGTAATTATTGAAAATGTCACTGTCAGCTTGATGACGTTTAGTCTCTATTGACGGTAATGACACTAATGACGGATGACCACTATTTGCGAACCTCTGCATGCATCTTCTCGAATTTTCAACATTGTCATCATGGAACATTGACCCATAGTTCCCTTGCTATCATCACGAATACGGGCTCTAACGGCTCACAATCAGCACCATATCTCGTTATGATGATTTGGCACTCTGTATCTTCGCCATTATGTACCTGTTTGTTGATTTGGCACTAATTGCTTGTAAGTATGGGCGTTATGGGTTATGTTACATGGTGATAAAGGGTCATCGCACGGGAAGAAGATGATGACGTATTTCGCCCCACTATTCAGGTCTACAATGATCCTCAGTTGCGCATGACCGCGTTTGAATATTTGAAGTTTCAAATCCAAACAATAATAACTGGCAATAATATATTCTGACTTGAAATAAATGGTGATTTAATGATATTCCTTCTTTTCTGATGGTCTCGACACCTCTCTTGATATTATCGACATAGTTTTCACTACCATGGTGAGGTAGAAATGCCATGTACAGGGTGTTCGCGGGGATATCTCCCGCCTATAATTTTATATCGTCCGGTGATTGATGTGTGTGGGAGTATAGGGGAAGATACACAAAAAAGGGTGATCTTCCGGTGAGATGTGGCAAGGACAGCCCCTTCGATCTTCATAGGCACCATTTTGTCTGCAGCAGTCTACCAGCCTGGTCACAAAAAGTAAGCCGTGAGATCTGTTTCTTGAATAATTTCGAATTTGTCTAACATTCGATTTTCCATTACTTAGTGTTGGGATTAATTAGGAAAAGATCTCAAATTTGGGATATCCATTATCATCGCTGGGATGATGGGATTCCTGTTGCCTCTATAGAGGGATTCTTCGTGGCTGAAATCCACGTGGCCGAGCCGACCTACATCACCACTTCTGGAACCCACACAACATCCAAGGTACTATATATTCTTTTAATCATCAGCTGCTATTTTCTTGTCATTCCTTGTGTTGGTAAAATAACGCACGATTGTCGTCATTCCATCTAGGGTTCCTTTTATCGGGCTAAAGCCTTCTCTCCCGTTCGTTGCATTCGAGATTTGGCCCCCTTCAGCTCCCTGGGACTGCTGTACTGGAGTCTGCGCCGCTGCTGTAGCTCTGTTTTCGTCTGCTCTAGGAGCCTTTTTATTTGTGGCTGAAAGGCGACATACAGGAGACACCACCTGACGCTGCCTGACTTCACGTACCTGATCCCCCTGTACATCAGAGCCAGATGATGTACATCAGGACCTGCTCATAATTTGGTGAGTTCGTTCCATGCACCATCAGGGATAGTATTTTACTTGGGATAAACTACCACCAACCTTAATTCATCAGTTTTAAATCTCATTCAACATAATATAATTGCAACATGTCATTGATTTAATAGACACTCAGTATAGCTACAAAATATACCCCTGTAAACCAAAAGTGCACTGCGGTAAAATAGGCCTTATTATTTCTTTTGTCTCATTGATACTGATTTACTGAGTTATTTTGTTGATTAATAAGCTATATATTATCATACTGTCTCAGAGAGTTGATTTTGAGCAGTGATTGTATTATTTTACACTGATCTGAAGAGTTGATTTCAGTCAGTCAATTTATATTTCTTGTGGTTGCAATAATTGTACACTGTTCAGGTAATATTACTATTGATACTCAGTTACTTTGGAAGTCTTGAGCCAACTATAGTATCATTTGGAGCACATTATTTTTCATTTCAGAATTTACTTGTGATTAAAAGCATATTCATCCCTATCAAACTTAGTATTTTACTAAGCCTAACGTACCCACCCATTTGTCCCGCTGAACTACCAGTGTCTAGTTTCTACGGTATCAAACTGGGCACTAAAAACACTTTTTCTGTTGTCAATACATTCAAGATTTAAAACACCTAATAAATCTTAGGTAATTCATCAACCAAACTCAGGGGTAAATAAAATTCTATTCCATTTTTCTTACTACTCACCCCCTGAGATTTAAAGGCATAACAACTGTGCCAAAACCAACTAAGTATATCCTGTATATCTACATGTTTCTTTCAGTGAAGAGAAGTGGTCCAAGTGGATTCCAAAAAAGGAAGATAAAGAAGGCAAAGACTAAGGAGGCCGAATTACTAGCTGGATCGCTGTTGAAATATGTCACTGAAAAGAGACACACTAACCAAAACGAAGAAACTCGCGAAGAAAGTAACATCGAGGAGTCAAGTCGTAAGAATTGATATTTCTCATTGAACTATTATTAATTTTTTTCTTTAAGATCAAGAAGAACAAGAAACCGAATTAGTAGAAACAGAAAGACACAAAGAAAAGAGCGAAATACCAGAAGTAGATGTACAGAGTGAAAAAAAGGAGACAACAAGTATATATGCATCTCAACTAGGGGATAGTAATGAAGAGATTATATGCGTCGAAAACCTGTGCCCTGTTGAAGAGTTGAAGGAAGAAGGAGAAACGAGCTCTTGTTCAGAACCAAAAAGAGGAACCAGTTTTGATTATGAATTCTTAGATTCCAATGATGCTTCGAACTGGCCAATGCCCTTACCAGATCACTTTCGAATTGAGATTATTAAGCAAGGTAGTGAGACATTCCAACATAAAGATGGTCCATTTATTTCTATTGATAGACAAGGCGAACATGCTAAGGGATCACAACGCAGTTTGACATCAAGATGGTTTTACTCAACTGTGGGAGACGGAAAAAAATATCTTCGAAAATGGATGATTTACTCTATCTCGGCCAATATGCTATATTGCTTTTGCTGTCGACTCTTTGCATCCACGGACGATCTGAGTAAACCATTTGTTTCTGGTTATCAAAAATGGTGGAAATTGAATCCCGATATTTCACTTCACGAGGCATCTCATCAACATATATCTAATTTGGAAAAATGGAAAACTCTCACAGTTGGTTTGAAAAACAATGAAACTATTGATAAAGTTGATGAAGACACTATAAATCGTGAGGCAAAAAAATGGCGAAACATACTTCATCGACTTTTGGATATTACACTATTTTTGGCTGAGGAGAATCTTGCTTTCAGAGGCCATAGAGAGGATTCTTCATCAGAAAACAGAGGTAATTTCATAGAATTAGTGAAAATGATGGCAAAATACGATCCCGTATTGAGTGAGCACTGGTCAAAACTTCAAGAAGCTGCAGGTGGATCGCGAAGAGTACCTTCTTATTTATCAAAAGGTATCCAGAATGAATTCATTTCTATTTTAAGTCATCACGTAAAACAGAAAATTATTGATGATATAAAAAACTCTAAATATTTTGGAATTATGTTTGACAGTACTCCAGACGAGAGCCACACCGACCAAATGAGTGAAATAATAAGATATGTCCATATCGAAGAAGGAGCTGTGGAAGTTCGGGAGTGTTTCTTAGGTTTCTTTGCTATGTCAGGAAAGACGGCAAGGTATATGTCAAATGATATCCTAAAGCAGCTAGAGAAAGATGGGTTAGACATTCAACTTTGTAGAGCTCAGGGCTACGATAATGCCGCCTCAATGTCTGGTGTGCATGGAGGAGTCCAAAGGAAAATCCGAGATATCAACCCTAAAGCATTATTTAGCCCTTGTGCAAATCACTCATTAAATCTTTGTGGTGTACATTCCTTCGCATGCGTCCCTTCAAGTGTAACCTGTTTCGGCACTTTAGAAAAATTATATTCATTCTTTTCTGTTTCCACCCACAGATGGGAAATACTGACACAAAAGGTTGGAAAAACTTTGAAGAGATTGTGTGATACACGCTGGAGTGCTCACCATGATTCCGTTAAAGCTGTCAGACAAAATGTAGAACAACTGATCCATACGTTGGAAGAAATGTGTGATCCCTCGAAAGAAAATTTGGACACTAGGTCTGCAGCAAGGGGACTACTTCCTGCAATATGTGACTTCACATTCTTATGCTACTTGGAGTTCTGGAATATGATTTTGGAAGAAGTTAATCACACCCAAAAATATTTACAAACGCCTGAAATCACACTTGACATGGGTTTGACAAAAATGAAGGCACTGCAATTGTTTCTTGTCGAGGAAAGAAATACGCTGGTCAATACGGCTATACAATTTGGCACGCACAAATGTAGAGAAATGAGCATAGATATTGAGAGACGTGGCCGACGAAAAGTCAAAAAGAATCTACCCGGAGAAACTACATCTGATGCTGGCTTAACTTTGCAAGAGGAAGTTCGCAGGTCTATGTTTGAGTGCTTGGATAGATTTATTCAAGAATTGGCTACAAGATCCACTGCTATGGAAAACATATCTAGCACCTTCCATATTGTACAATCAAAATTCCTGATAGAAGCATCTACGGAAAATGAACTTGAACAGGCCATAGAAGCACTCAACCTAGTCTATGGTGACTTTGTCAAGGAAGAAGTATGCAAAGAAGTATACAGATTGCGAAGACATGTGAGCGCAACTGGTACTGCAATGGAGGAAGCTGCTTCTTGGAATGCCAAAAAAATGTTTGAATTTATTATTAAATGGGACTTTACCGAATCCCTTCCCAACATATGTTTGATACTTCAGTATTTCCTAACAATTAGTGTATCAGTGGCGTCATGCGAAAGAAGTTTTTCAAAACTTAAATTAATCAAAAACTATCTAAGATCAACCATGACTCAAGAACGACTGGCTAGTCTGGCTATTTTGTCCATCGAAAGAAAAGCAGCTTCGGTTTTGGATTTTGATGACGTAATTAATAAATTTAGTGTATTGAAAGCCAGAAAACATAATTTGAAATTAGTATAGTTAATTTCAATTACTTGTATGTGTCTTTGTTTGTTTTTCACTTGTGTGTGTGTGTGTGTGTGTTTGCTGTTTGCAACATTTTAAAAATATTGAATAAAACATTTGAGTTTCCATCTGCATTGCGTTTATTTCAATAAATATTCAAATCTGAGGGCGCCAGGGGGCCCAAAATTAAAGATCGCCCCGGGCCTCAAAAAGTCTTAGTCCGCCAGTGCGTAGAATATTGGAAGATGACGACGACCTGGACGAGTTAAATTTAATTCTTTATGGTGCGCCCAGACAAATGTATGAGAGGGCAGAGACGTTCGATGAACTTACATTTTTCCGACGATTTAGAGTGACAAAATCTATTGCTCTCTTTATACTAAACCTGATTGAGGCTGAAATTGAGTATCCTTATGATGTGTAAGTATAGAGAACACTTTCATTGTCCACTTATATTACAAGAACTACAATATTTTGTGGTGGATGTGGCTCATTTTTTTTATTTTCAGCAATAATATTGTTTCTCCTATGAATCAGCTGTTAATGTTTCTTAGACTGTGTGCAACAGGGTCTCACCTCTCATGTATCGGAGATTTCACTGGTGCCCACTTGGCAACTGTCTCCAGGCATACCAAGAGAGTGTCTAGGGCTTTAGCTCGTCTAAGCCAGACATTTATTCGAATGCCAAGCACTCATGAAGAAATAGCCGTTGCACAGCATGAGTTTTATTAAGTAGCTAGATTTCCGAGAGTCATCGGAGCAGTAGATGGAAGTCATATTTGGATCAAATCACCAGGTATTACTTTGTCTAGTAGGGTCGCGTTTTCGGGAAACCAAATACAATTCAGAAATTATGAAATTATTATTCTATTAATATAAATTCCTAGAACTTTTTATGAGGAATGTGTCCATAAGAAATGCATTACTCTCTATCTAGAAGTACTTTCTGATCAGGAATGAATGATAATAACAACTTTAGTCATTTTTCCTCGAATCTAACCAGACAAACCAGGTTAACTTTATGATGACGTCACGGTAGCCTTATCATGACGTCACGGTTTACTTTTGAAGCTTGACAGATGTTAGTTTATCAGCTGTTTTTGTTTATTGTTTAATTCTAGTAGTAATACTGATATATTGAATGAGAAATTCATCACCTGTGAAGAAAATATATAAAAGATAGGAGCTAGGTGCTTACCTACTACAACAATTCGCTGCGTACACATATTTACAATGAATCAAATATTTATTTCCATCAATATGATGAGATCTTTCATTGAAAAATACTTCGTATGAATCCATTATTTATCTCTTACAACAACACGAGCCCAATCCAGTGGCCAATCAATGAATCAAAAGCCTTAACTACTCCGTGAACTACCTCAGGTGCGCTGGTTTGTATGGTTGGTTAACTATTACGTCATAGTTTGGAATACAATTCGAGGAAAATTGATTGGTTAACTTATTGTTGGCCCGGTTTGTGTGGTTAACTTCGAGGAAAAATGGCTTTTGTTAGCAAAAAGTTCATCGATATCGCATTTGAGATAGTTATATGAAAAACTTTTATCATACTTTTCAGGGGCAGATTATGCTGAAGTATTCAGAAATAGAAAAGGATACTTCTCACTGAACATCCAAACTGTGAGCAGCGCCAAAGTTGAAATTTTGGATTTAGTTGTACGTTGGCCTGGATCTGCCGATAATGTTACTATGATCAACAATTCAAGAATTCGTCAGATACTTGAAAATGATGAATTTCAAAACAGTATTCTACTAGGTAAAATACCCATATTGGTAAAATTATATACTTGATAAAAAAGTATTTAGTATATCATAGAAATGTTCCTATTGACCTGATATGGATTATTTTGTTACAGGAGACAGTGGATATAATTTAAGGCCTTACCTCATGACACCACTATTGAACCCTAATACAAGAGCTGAAGGGCTCTATAATGAGTCTCATATTAGAACTCGCAACATAGTTGAAAGGCAGATAGGAGTGTGGAAAATGAGATTTCCAATACTTGCTTATGGTTGCCGCTTGAAGTTAGATACAGCAATGCAGGTTATTTTTGTTACTGGTGTACTGCATAACATATGTATTGAAAATAATGATCCAGAGCCACCACCTCCAGAAGATGTAGAACTTTCACAAAATATTATGCAGCAGGATGAGATACCAAACATTCCTCACCATAATGAAGCTATCAACAATGGTATATTGCATGTTCAAAGGCAGTTTATTGAAAATTACCTTGCACATATTGAGGAATAAAAGCAATGTGTAATTATTATTACATTTTTAGGAGAATGTAAAAGAAATTGTCAAATATATGTATATTCTTTAATACTGGCTCATCAATTCAAAAAAGTTTATGGAAATTCTTTATTAATTAACACAAACAACATATAACTCAAACATTATGTTTATTTTTTAGTTGTCTCAATGTTTCTTCTTCTATTGCAATTTCAGTCATACTTTTTTTTTTTGTAATTGAAATATTTCTTGTTCCCTTCTCTCTCTTTCCTTCATGTTTTCTTTTTCAGCTTGAAAAAATTCAATCTTTATCTGTGACAATAATAAATATTGTTCTGTTGGTTCTGAGGATGGCGATGGCTGGCCTTCTTCTTTCCAGCCATGTGCTTTTCAGGCATTCAGATTTTGGCCTCTCCACATGAATACTATGTGCTGAGGTATAGGCGTGCTTAGTTTTCTATTTAAACACACAAAAAAGTAAATTAGTGATGGTCTAAACAGAAAATATTAATTGTTTACTACATTCATTATCTGGATGAGTATCTTGTAATAGTAAATTACTCACTGATTTTGAGGGTTCCGAATCATTTTTTCCCTTAGCCTTTTCTGTGAAGCAGTAGCAATTGAGGTTGATTGACAATCTGAGGGCTCAGGAACCTCAATAAGATGTGTATCTTCAAAATAATTGTGATCAAGTATTATCTCCTCAGTACCAGAATTTTCCTTTTCAAATTCCTGGTCCAAATGGAATTGATTATGATTTTCCATAGCATCACTATCGAACTCGTTCTGTAACCCTGTTACTGTTTTAGGATTCATAAGCCCTAGCGCAAGTTCTTTAATAGGATTTTTGGCACACATCGAATCACTCCACCTCCTGTTTTAAAAATCTTCTTTTTCTCATCAGCCACCTCCTTTCTTACGTTTTTTTTTTATATTATCATACAACTTTCAGGGCGTCTTTAGTTCTTGGAAAAGTTTCTGGGGTTTGTGAGTTGAACATATCTGTAATTTTCTGCCATGCATCGTCTTTTTCACGCCATGATTGCGAATTTGTCTTTTTATTTTCGACAATATCTTTGAATTTATGTAGTATATTCAAGAGTAGATTTTTTTCTTACAAAGAAAAATTTGGGGCTCTTTTTCTTTCTCCTTCCATCACTATTGTTCAAACAACAAACAAATGAAATGTGAAATGATAAATGATTCACCAAAAAATAGGTTAGAATTCATCGATTCTTCTACTTCATTTCTTCTTTCTGTCATATAGTGGTCATAAATTGTTCTGTGGAGTTGGTCACGAAAACAATTTTGCGATGTTGCCAAGCAATTACTATACTTAGCTAAGGTTTGCTGTGGTGCAAAATATTTTTAGTTTAAGGTCAACTTAAGCTATTCCTTCACTTAGCTAAGTTGGGTATTGAGGAATAGCGGTGCAAAAGGCTGTGGACATTCATCGTCGGTACTTGGTGAGCAAGCAATGCTTTTGTTAATCTGTCAATAAAAGCCTATCGAAACCTATTTCTTTTCACTATATTTCTACAATTCCATCAAGTACTGACAGTAATTAACTATTTACACAAACAACGATGAAAAGGAAAATCTAACAGTATTAGTAACGGCTAACGCTGCAGGAGAACTAGCACCTCCTATGATAGTCTTCAAATACGATCGCATCCCCTGTCATATAGCCAACAGTGTCAATAGGGATTGGGGAATTGGTCGGCCAGAAAGTGGTTGGATGTGTGGCCCAACATTTTTTTAATATATCACAAATGTCTTTGTGCCATGGTTGAATGAGAAGAAGATTGAACGACCAATTCTAATGTTTATAGATGGTCATGTGTTTCACATGACTCTTCATCTGTCACGATTTTGCTCCAATAATGGAGTTGAACTTTTTGCGTTTTATCCAAACGCCACCCACTCGACCCAGCCTATGGGCGTGGCGGTATTTAAGGCGTCGAAACTCTTCTGGAAGAAATCGGTGAGAGATTGGCATATAGAAAATCAAGAAAGAAAGTTGAGAAAAGAGAATTTCAGCAATGTCTGGGAGAATGTCTGGGAGGGCCATTTCTAAAATCACAAAAGACACAATCCAAAACGGTTTCAACGCCTGCAGCCTCTCTCCATTTAATGTAGAAAATATGAAGTTTTCAAAGATTTCAACTAATTCAAGATAGTAGAGTGCCAAACGAACCGTAAGTCGCTTAGATCAAAAGTTGGTGGGAAATCGGAGGTAAAAAGCTGTGACATGGCTAAAATTGTTACCTACCATCGCCAGATCATGGAACCACTTGTCGTCAAAAAATCGTCCGGTGCGTTTGGGGGGTAGGGGGTAATTTATAAAAAAATATGGATTTTTTTTTATTCGTGAAAAATATTGATGGGTTCCAGAACTTCCACCCTGTCGAATCTTGATTTCGTGTGACAAGTTGAACAAATTATAGAAAATTTTGAAATTCACCAATTACATTACGATATATGAGAAAATCATATTTCAAACGGCTATAACTCGAAACTTGTAAATTTTCGTTAAATTGCTTTTCATATACCTCGCATTATCTCATTAACTATAACGTTTATCAAAAAAATACTCGAAATAATGTCGATGCGCCTATGTTTCAAGATGCGAATGGTTCTTCGATTTCGAAAATCGAAGCATAAATAAGGAAGATATTGGGAAAATCATAATACAATGCAGGCAGTACGAGGGACGGCGACTCGCCGCTTTCATACCCCGAATCTCCCCGCAACGCCCGCAGCCGTCCTAGTACGATCACCGTAAATATGAATTACTGAGAGTTACAGAATAGTACGATCTTGGAATTCACGGGAGAAATGGAATTGATCGCTATTTTCTAAGTTAACAAAAATTTATTTTAACTTGCTGTTTGATTGGAAGTGCCCTCCATTTATTTTATGGATGATTCTATCTCGAAAGTACATTTCTTATCCATTTCAGAGTAAAATGTCAACCATCTCATTTATAAACAAATTGACAAATATTGAAACAAAACATGATGCATATAATATTGAAATAAAAATAAGATATCCTTGTAGAAACTTGAAAAAAAAACATTATTTGATACCTATCGAATTGCGAAGTTGTAAATACACGTAAATACGATACAGTGTCCACAAGAACACAAAGCTACGATAATTTTTTTCGATCATGTCTCTTGACATTATTCCCAAACCAACGTGTTTCGGTGTGAGTTTTTTGAATTTCGAATTAGCGAGTATTATACCTTGACATCAGATACTCAACACCTTTGAGTCATCTGAATCAACTTTATCGCGTGTATAAGGCAACTAATTTTAAAATAGGTATTTTTGTATCTAGAGCGCGAAATGCTACTTTGGTGATCGAGATCTGATTTTTTTAACGAGGCGTAGCCGAGTTAAAAAAATAGTCTAGATGACCAAAGTATTTCGCGCTCGAGTTGCAAACAACATTTTTTCTACAAACGTCAAAAAATATAGTTCTGAGGTAAACATATGCTTAAATTGATATAAAATATCGTGTTGAACTGGCTTGAAAGGTCTCCCCCTATCCTCCCTAGGTACGCCTGATGTTCCACGAACATAATAGGAATTTCCTTTCGTGCGCTCCAAGAGATAGAACGAAGTTATTGTTGAACATTGAGAAATAAAGGATTTCGTGGATATTTGATTGATTGAGGACCATGAAGTTGAAATATAAATATCTCATATATTTTACATAACAATGCGCGAAGTAGGTACTTCGCGCACTGTTTTACTTCGCGCATTGTTTTGTGCAAAATATCATGGTAACGTAGGAAACTGAAAAAAGTGTCACTTCGCAATTTGTTATCAATGCGCGAACCTTGTCATTTTTTGACGTTTGTAGAAAAAAGTTTTTTTGGTATCATATCCTTGTAAGCCTTGACATCCATGTTTTTGAGTTGTTTATAATCTGGAATATCTCTCATATCTTGATAAATATCTCAAAAAAGTTTGTGTATCTGGGTCATATCTCAAAAAAGTTTGTGTATCTGGGTCATATCTGATGCATACAAAGTCAGGGGAGTTATCTTCTGTAATTTCACTTTCTTCTTTATATGTGTATGAATCAGATGAGTTTTTGTCACTTGGAATCAAAAATTACGACTCATTAGAACGTTTTGATTTATTCGATAATTTCTATTTCCTTGTCGTAGTGCTTTCTGATTTCTTCGATAAATTCATTTTACTTGATTTTTCGAGATTTTCTCTCCTCGTTTCTCTGGACGTTTCGGAAACGAATCTGCTCCCGTTCTCACCATAAAAATGCAAAACATTTTTCTTTGGGAGTTGCATTTTCATGTTGAGAACGGGAGCAGATTCGTTGCCGAAACGTCCAAAGAAACGAGGAGAGAAAATCCCAAAAAATCAAGTAAAATGAATGTTTCACCTTCTCGATTAACCTACAGACAGTAATTTTCGATTAAGATTTTCCTACCAGTTTTGCCACCAAGTTCGGCATATTTTCGATATAAACAGTTGAAAGTATACCCTTTTTTTATTAGAAAATCTGCACCATCTATTAATTTTATCAGATTATCAAATTCTTTGTCATGTGTGGTATGACAACTTTATTCTCACTCAGTGATCCTCTATAATGTTTCCAATTCGATACAAAGCATTGGTTATGATGCTTGACTTCCATGGCAATAAACAATGTTGGTAGTCAATACTAGGTCAAAACTTGACTCTTATTTGAACATTTTTGGTAGAAAATTCTTTTAGACACATCAAAAATACCTTCACATCAATTTCACTATAGAAAGCGTTTTATTCCTGACATTATTGTCTCCAGTTTTCAATATTCCTGTGCCAGAAGATCGATTGACCTTTATTTTCATTGAAAATATCATCAATTCTCTGAAGTTCCATATCGATTTGCCTTGCATAGTTCTTTCCGAGGTTTTTTCTTATGTTCATATACAATTTTCAAATGTTTTTATCGATAATTCTGTGCAACAAAGGAGTTGACCATCTTTTCCACAAATGAAACATTTTCTCGATGATTCTGTACTCTGCTGGAAAGGAATCCTCAACATCAAGACATATTCAAGATCAGTGTCTGAATTGCTAGTACTTTCCATCTTTTATCTAGAGAAACATATATTTTATGATGAATTTGCAATAATAGATTTCGTTAGCTACTCAATACTTATTCAATTATCGAAACAGAAGCCAAAGAACACACATTACCAAATATCGAATAATTAATTCACAATAAGTCACCATTAGATGCAATGGTCAACGCCTCAATGTTGATGTGTATACCCTGCCAAAAATGTCTCATAGAAACTTATAAAAAAATATATATGAGAATATATGAGAATGAAGTTGGATAGTGAAACAGTAATTCCGTATAATCCTATGTATTTTGCAGATACATTTATAACCAGTT